TAACTACAAAATAAGCCTAACAATAGTAGCTCCATGCAATTTACGTGATCAGAGAAATTGAATCAAGCATGTAAAATGCTTACATTATAAGTAGTTGATAAATGTTGGTTGTTATTATTATTAAAATTATTTACCAACTTGTTACTTGAAAATGTTTTCCTGTTCTCATTTGCATTTCTTTGATTGCATTTCTCTGATGAAACCAATTATTTCTTCCACGTGTCTATTAGTAAGTTGTAAAATTGTTTACATTTTCCTTTTTTCCATTTTGATATTTCTGTGTTCCCCTTTCCTTGATTAATTTGAACCAATTCACTATATAGTTATATTAACCTTTTGCCTTTTTATACACTGTGTTTCCTGTATGTCATTTGTCTTGTTAAATTATACCATATAAAAGATTACTTTTTGTAAAAAAATCAGTTCTTTTCTGCATAATTTCTGCCTCAGGTTGTATGTTGAGAAATGCTTTAGCATATTTAAATAATCATGTGTATTTTCTCCCAATTCTGTTGCCATTATATTCAATGTGTTTATCCATTTAAGTAACAACTTTGTTTCAAATAGTTCTTAAGGACAGTGGAAAGTGATGGTCTTAAAATGGTAAGTGAAAAAGGGGCATACAAAATAGTGTGTTCAGTATGATCCAATTTGTATATAACAAGATTGCATTTGTGAATGTTTTATGTAGAAAAAAGACTAAAAGAAAAGACTAAAATATTTAACAATGTTTATTAGATTAAAATGATATTTAAAACTTTCCTCCTTTGTGTTTTCCAAAATGAATGTGTATCATTTTTACTATTGGAAATTTTTAAACTAAGGCTTTTTGATTAAAAAAAGTATGGTATAACTTTAAAGTGATTTGGAATGGTATAGTTCAATAGAAATATAATGTGAGCTACATATCTAATTTTAAATTTTCTCATAACCATATTCCTTAATAATATAAAGTACTGGTGAAATTAATTTTAATAATATATTCTATTTCACACAGTATCTAAAATGCTATCACTTTAACATGCAATCAATATAAAAATGATTGATAAGATATTTTACATTATTTTGTACTATGTTTTTTAAATCCTGTGTATGCTTTATGCTTTGTACATCTCAAGTTGCATTAGGAACATTTCAAGTTCCTGATAGTCACATGTGGTTCATAGCTACCATATTGTACACTGCAGATTTGGAACATAAAAAGGTCTTGAGTCTCAAATTGGGCCAAATTCCAAATAGCTTGCTGAATCATTGGTTCAACATTACTTGTGAAATGCTCTAAGTATGGGTTAGAGACTACAAATTGAAGTACCTCTAAGGGTCAGGGCAGTCACTAGATAATGTGAATATGAAAAGCAGGGCATAAAAAAAACATGTCTTTCTAAAGACTTGAACCCACCACTAAGCTCCCTCCAGTCAATTGGTGCTATGTGGAATGCAGGCCCAGGGTTGACAGACTTACTGATTTTTCACAGAAACCTAAAATTTTCCTGTGCATTTTATCCATTATTAAATATTGACAATGATTTAAAAAATGTACAGCACTGTGTGGGCAAACTATGTTCTTACCAATTGTAATCCCTTTTATGCCAAATTTTGACTTCTATGATCAATATTATTTTTATAAATCTACTGACATTATTAACTTTGAAACATTAGGCTACTCATTTTTAATGAACTAAAACTGTTAATTTACATCTTACAGGCTTTATAACACTAACAGATAACATTTACTGCAAGTTTAATATATGACAGGCATCTTGCTAAACACTTTTTACATTTTATAAATAAATGAAACTAAGGGGGGTTGACCGAGTTTAAGGTCACAGATCTTATAAGTGATGGTGCCAATACTTGAACTAAGGTCTTCCTGAGTCAAAGTCTGTGCTTCTCCAAACACTCTAAATTCCCTAGAAGTATCCATGTCTAGGTAATCAATCAATCAATCAATCAATCAATCAATCAATCAATCACTCTCTTTCTCTCTCACACACACTCCTCTAGTCCCTTTTAGTCACAAGAATATTGCATACACCAGGCCTCTATCTGCCTCAATCTCTTTTTCTTTTATTTTTCTCTTGTTTATGACCATCCTACATTTCCTTTACAAAATATATTTCCTTTCCTCATTCTCATCTTTCATGTTCCTTGCATCTTCTAAAATGTTTCCTTGTACTTCTACCTGTTTTAACCTCAAGTTGCTTAAAGGATGTCCCAGACCCTGCTTCACATGAGCATATTATTATTATCATTATCCTACCTGAAACATTTCCATGGCCCTCCGTTGGACAATTCCCAAATGACACTGAGTGGATTAATAGATGTTTTCAACCTTTTCAGTATCACACAGATATATTCTTGTGCTATTTACAAAGATAAAAAACCATGGCCATTGTTAATCAGATTTACTCATTTACAACTCTCAAAGAGCATCCTCCTTTTCAAGATTTGAGGTCCTAGTGACCTACAGATTTTATCTTCCATGTACTTATATTAATCCTGTAAGTTTTGTCCTTTTTGAAAAAAAAAAAGACTTCTTAATAACATACTCCATGCCTTTTTCAATAAGAATGGATGACAAAATGGGCTCATATACCTGCTTGTTCACCCTGTCATCTCAGTTCCATGCTTCGTCTAACACAGTAATACAACTTTTCATTGTAGGTACTTACACAAGAGTAATTGGTAATCTGATTATTTATACCTGCATCTTTCGAAAATCGTCAGTGTGGCAGTTATTTTTTCTAGCCAATGTATTTTCTTCTAGAGTTAAACAGGCAATTTGGTCAAATTTAATTAAATATAACGGGTTTTTCAAGACTTCTGCAGAAATGCCTGTTTTGGGGTACAAAACTGTGTGTGTGATAATCCTCCATGATCCTCACCCTACCCTATATTTTCATTGCATAGGAAAGACCAGTCTTTCTCAGCATTTGCTAGATTTTCAGAGTCTGTCTGTCCAGGCCTATGTTGGATATGAGGCTCTCTTCCAAACACACACTCTTATCAGCTTCCCAGTAGAAAACTTTGTATTAGGTTGCTCTTGTTATTTGCAACATGACAAAGCCAATAATGTTGCTTAATAACTCATTTTTTGTTGGTTTATATAGTTTGGGGTTAACAAATATGAGACCACTAGAAATTTGAGTGTTGACTGGACATTAAATAATTGTCTATTTTTATGTGTGATTTTAGTACTGTGGTTGTTTTGAAAGTATCATTGAGAGATACATACTGTATTAGCTATTGCTGTGTAACACATTAGCAGCTTAAAACTACATACATATGTTATCCCAGAGAATCTATGAGTCAGAACTCTGGGTATGGCTTATCTGTGTCTTCTGCCTCAGAGACTTCTACAAAGTGGCAATCAATATGTTGGTCAGGGCCAAGGTCTTATCTGAAGTCCTGAGTGGGGAAGTATCTGCTTCCAAAGTCACTTGTGTTGTTTGGCAGTATTCACTTTAAGGGCTATTTTGGACTGAGGGTCTCAGTTCCTCACTGGCTGTTGGCTGAAAGATATTCTCAGTTCTTTGTAATTTAGGCCTCTGCAACATGGCAGGTTATTTCATCAAAGCCAGCCATGGGGTGGGGGGTGGGGAGTGGGGAGGGAGTTTCCTAGTAAGATGTAAGTCACAATATTCTGCAACACAGACTCAGAATTGGCATCACATCACATCTGCTCTAATTTACTGATTATAAATAAGACCTAGTGATTTTACCCACACTCAGTAGGAGGGACAGTTATACTAGGGCATGAATAACATATCCAAGGGTAACTCTCTTTTTAAATTTTCTCAAGAAATCTATATATCTAAGTGCTATCAATGAGAATTTTTAAGTGCCTCCATTGAATTTAGAAGCTGACTTATGAATTCTCTGTATTTGTATCTATTATTTGGTGTACCTTTTCAGCACAGAAATCCATATTCTTTAAGAAAAATACAGTAAAGTACAAAGAAAAGAATCACTCAGTATCCCACAAGAGGTAACCACTATTAACTTTTTAGTATATATACTTTCAATTTCAATTTTTTGTAGTAAATCTAAAGTTGTTTTTAATTTTCTCATCCTTTGCATCTTAATGCTTTTCTCTACTGAATTCAGATTTTCACTTTTATGTTACTCTAGTTATTATGGTTATTATTTAAGAATTGAGATCATAATATATACACACCAGCAGCCTTTTAGACATTAATGTGCTTCAGAATCACCAGGAAGCTTGCTAAAAACTAAAGTTCTGGAGTCCCATTCAGTAGCTTTTGGGTGTAATCAGGAGTCCACATTTTCAAGAAAGTCCTCAGATGACTTTCACCTTTTTGGCAGAATAGCATACTTTTAAAAACAGTAAGACATTATTAAATGAATACAGTGCTTCTTTAGGAATTGCAAGTAATCTCTTCTAGAGAAAGCTACATGCCCAAGGTTATTTTATTCAGGGATTGAACTGAAACAAGAATTCAGAGCTACTGACTCAATCATTAACTGTACTCTGTTAAACACCTACCTCTTATCAGGCAGAAGTAACAGCTTGACCAGCAGACACTGCAGTCCGGAGGAGAGGAGGGTTACTAGTCTGTTAAGATCTGTCCTTGGAGACTTTACTAAATATCTGAAGGGAAAATGTGAGCATGAGGGGTCTTGCCTAATATGTGGAAATGGGAGCAAAAAAGGTAACCATAACTCACCCTCTTTAACAGTCATGTGAAGTCCCCAATTTATACAGAACTGCTGGGTTTACTCATCTGGCTAAAAGATCCAAATTTCACGACCAAGTATTTTTTTAAGTTACCTTAATGATTTCATAAGGTCATTAAAAATAGTTTCCATTTCTTCTCAAAGTACAGAAAATATAAAGGAAAACACATCAACTCATCTCACAGAAATGAGTCGTTATATGAATCTTTTGGTGTATTTAATTTCAGCATTCTTGTCTTTATGTCTTAAATAAGTAAATATATGATTTTTAATACAAAGAAAAATACAGAGATTGATTTTTCTAAACTGCTTTATTAACTTCACAATATATAATTAGCATCTTCCCATGCAATAGGTAAAACTCCCCTGCTAACAAAATCTTACAGATTGGGTCAAAAACACAACATTCAACTAGAAGCTAGTAATAAGAGACCCACCAGAAACAAGTGACATCAAAAAGTTTACAACAAAGATACATCATGAACACGTAAGTTTAGAAAGCAAGTGTTTCCCTATTAACTCCAGGGAAAATATCAGAATTCAAGGCATAAGGCAAAACTCATCACGATGGTCATGGTGAGGGGGGTCAGTGCTAACTGCCCGCAGACTATGACTGAACTGCTTTTCCCTCAACTTTTCCATCAGTTGTCTCACCTCCTCCCCAATTCTTTCCCTATTCTCTCCTCTCATCCTTGCCTGTGGCTCTTCAAGTCTCTGAATCATGTCCCACCTATAAGGCAGGATGGGCTGCCTAACACGGAACCGCCTACGATTTCCTCTAGGCACATAGTATTCACCAATTTCCAAAGGGAGGGCCAACAGCTCTCCTTTATTAGCATCTTGCTCCTTTTCACCCTTTTTTTCATGTTCCTGGTTGGCATTTTCCATGCTGAGATTTTTTACCACTTGTTTCTCTTTGGATGCCATTACTCCTAGAAGACAAAAGGTGAGCGAAGGCATTCGATGTTTGGTGGACAGATCAGCACCGAGGACAGAGGCCCGACTACTCATGTTTCAGAGCACTGAATATCAGAGGTAATTTTTTAAATTTCATTTTTCCACTTGAAAGGCTTCGCGCGCCCTCAAGGGGACCTCCAGCCCTAGTCCTCCCCCTACTCTTCTCCTCCTTCCCTCGATCCCAAACCCACCATTTTCCCTTCAGATCCATCACCAGGCCTTTGCAGGCACCAAAATGGAGGAGGGTGGGGGGAAGACGGGTAAGCTGGGAGAGAGTCTCAGACTGGGCTCTGCATCCGCACCCCCGCCACTGTCCCCCCGCACCGACCTGGGCCTATCCTTGCTGTCTCTTCCTCCTCCGATTCTTGCCGCGAGTGCGCCGCTACGACACTTGACACAGACCCGAAGACCTGCAGAACGCCCAAGTCCGGGAAGCGAGACTGCTGCAGCCAAGCGCTCTGCGTCGCCCCGCCGCTTCCCGGCCTCTTCCCTGCCCGGGACCCCCAGGCCTCCCCCCACCAAGTCTTCCGACCCTCATCACCTGCCACTTCCTCCGCCCCTGAGGCTTATAATTTTCCTGCAGGACCTCGAGGTACCTTAACTGCTTTGCTGCCCTCCCTGCCTCCCCTGCACCCCACCCGGGGGTGGGGGGGGCACTATTTATGTTCCCAGAAATGCCGCGGGGCGGGGAAAGCTGGTCAGGACTCGCTGCGCTGATCCCCTGCGCAGGCCTCCGGGGTTGACGCACCGCAGCCTCCCTCGCCTGGGCGCGGGCCCCGGGTCCCTTACCTGCTCTGCTTTCCCCGGGCCCAATGCCAGCCCGCCCTACACGAGGTGGTGGGGAGCTGGTACCCAGACGGGAGTGGTGACTGCACCGAAGGCTGCGTCTCCCTGCAGCTCCTGGTCACGTGAGGGTCTCATGTCACCAACTAGTTCTTCCCAGCTCCCCACCCCCGTTTTAGCTGGCGGGTTGTTCCACAGGACCCTTCCCCCACCTCCGAACGCACTAGCTCCCCCTCCACCCATCCGTGCCCGGGGCCCCAGGGCGCTCCGCCCTGTCACTCAGCCTGGTCTTCTCCAATCTGAGGGTCCACAAGTGGCATCACCGCTCTGCAGGTGGGGTTTGCTTTTCCCTGATTACCAGGGAGGTTCTACATTTCACCCTCCCGCTTCCCCAAGGCCTTGGCGTTGGCTTTAGCATTTCCAGCTGTCTCACCTCTTTTCCCTGGCTGTATTCCTGCTTCCAAACAATGTATTTCCTTTTTTAAAATCAGTAGGCCTCAGAAACCAAAATTATGAAATTCCATATTTAAAAGACAGGCTTCAACCTGGGGAAGTAAAAAAAAAAATCTCACTGTTTACATTCTGCACCACAGAGAACATGTTTTCTCTGCTCCACACAATTTCAATTTTTAGAACATTATAGCTTGTTTCAATATATTATGGAAACAAAAAGGGGAAATCTGCCTGAACACAATTGGTTATTGAAAATGAACTGTGAAGTAAATCTTCAAGGAGTCCAGTTCTCAGATCTTGGCTATAGTATATAATTAGCCACCTTCTTTTTCCTTCTGGGATAGACTTCACTTATATTTTATTCTACTATAATAAACATTAAATATGGAAAAGCATTTGCTGACAACTAAAGTTATTTGCTCAAATTTAATGGCTATTACTAATGATGGTTTTGAAGACCTAAACAAAGGTAGAGCTGTGAGGCTAAGGCAGGTTGAAAGATGCAGAGTCAGTTTATTCCTGCCCTGACAAAAAGTTGGGAAGGTACTGATCCACCTGCCACATTCCAGAGTCTCTTCATTTCCTTCATTCAGCCTCCTGGTTATTGCTTACTCAAAAAATATAGATGGACAGGTGACCAAAGTAATGACCCAAATAAATTTTTTTGTTTTCTTCTCTCTATTTTTGCCCTAAATTCCCATCTAGTGACTCGCCTTCCAGACAGATGGGGGGAGAGGGATCTGTTCTCTACTGGAAACCAGATGGGATTCTTCCACACCTCTGTGATGGGAGAGTCCAAGAATTACAGAGAAGTGATTCTGGGAGAAGAGCCTCCCAAGTCGGCCTGCTCTCTCCTCTTTTTCACTTTGTCTAGTGGAAGCCTCCCTGCAAACTTTCTACTGTCTTTTACCTAACTTAGGAAGTGTAGACTGGGATCTTCTCCCTAAGCTTTTCCCCTCCAAGAAACTCAGGAAGACCCAGCCCTGCTGCAGGGTCATATCTGTCAGTCCATACCCACCCTACTGCTCCCACATTTATGCCAGGACTGGAGGAACACTCTATGCCTACCACCCTGAGTGACCTTAGGTTAGGCATTTTTAACACAGAAGTCTATGGGACCCCATTAATGTTATTCAGAATTATATGTATGTGTGAGGGGGTGGTAATATATTCACATTTTGTAAGAGAAACCATACTTCTTAGCAGATTCTCAAAAGACGCTGTGATTCCTTATCACTCAAGAAGTGTAAAAGTCTCTCTATATGCTGTGTCACTCTTCCTAGTCATTTATTCTCATCTTAGACCTGCTTCTTTTTCCTCTGTTTTCTAGCTTAATATCTACCCACTGGAAAACCCAGAACCTGGCCATCATCCTTGAATGCCTCATATTAATAACCAAACCTGGCTGAGACTTTGTCTTTTCAAAACAGCCTTGTGGAATTATAATTAGCATACCATAAGATTTGCCCATTTAAACTGCCCATTTCAATGGTTTTGTGTAGTCACAGATATGTGCAACCATCACCACAGTCAATTGTAGGACATTTCCATCACACCAAAAAGAAACTCAAAAAGTACTCTTTACTATCACTTTTCTAACTCCTCATCCTCTCTAGGGCAGAGCAACCACTAGCATATTTTCTGTCTCCACAGATCCTGGGCATTTCAAATAAATGAAATAATGTAATACTTTGGGACTCACTTCTTCATTTAGTATACATTTTCAAGTTTCATGGCAACAATATAATTATCATTTGAATAAATGCTAAACTCTTTTCCAAAGTGGCTGAACATTTTACATTCCTAGCATCAGTGTATGAGGGTTCTTATTTCTCCACATCCTCACGAACATTTGGTATTACCTGAAATTTTGATTCTAGCCATGTTAGTGGAGTAAAGTGATATATCAGCATGTTCTGATTTGCTTTCCCAGATGACTAATGATGTTGGGCATCGTTTCATGTTATAATTCTACTTCCATTACATTGTGTGGATTTTTTTCCCATACCACCAAACAATTCTCCAACAGCAGCTAGATGTCCTATGGTTCAACTCAATTCTGGCACCATCTACCTGGAGACAGTATCATATTCCACAGGTTAAGGGCTTAGTCCCACAAGACTGCCCTCCATTTCAGAAGCCAATCACAAGTTCAGGGTGTTACCTGTGCTTCTGACCGACTGGCTATAAATCAGAGGTAACCACAACCCCTACCTTAGGTTCAATTAATTTGCTGGAGCAGCTTACAGAACTCAGGAAACCAGTTTACCTACTAGATTACCAGTTTATTACAAAGGATATTAAAGGAAACAAATCAATAGCCAAGTAGAGAGACACATAAAGGCTAGGTGCTGAACAAAGGACTTTCTGTCCTCATGAAGTTTGTAACTCAGTATTATGGCACCTGAAAGTGTTCTGGTTCACTAACCTGGAAACTCCCTGAACCCTGTCCTTTTGGGTTTTGATGAAGTTTCATTACATAGGCATGATTGATTAAATCATTGTATATCGATGATTGATCAACTTAGAACCTCTTTCCTAGAAATTTCCCAGAAATCAGGAGGTGGTATTTGAAAGTTTCAACTGTCTTATCTTGGTTGGTTTCCCTGGCAACCACAACTAAGTTTATGTTAATAAGGTGACTATTGGAAATCCTCTAATGATGGGAGATGGCTGGTTGCCAGGGAAACGATCATTAGAGGATTTCTAAAAGTCACCTTATTAACATAAACTTAGTTGTGGTTGAAAGGGACTTGTTACAAATAACAAGACATCCTGTTTAAACTTTATGGCTCTGAAATGATTTCAGAAACTAAGGACAAAAGACCAAATATTACAACAAGTGATGCTCACATTGCTTTCATCTCTTAGGAAATTCCAAGGGTTTGGGGAGCTCTGTGCCAGGAACAGGTACAAAGACCAAATATGTATTTCTTATTATAAATCACAATGTCACATTTAATCTTCCTTAGGGAAATGTCTTTTCAAACCCTTTGCTCATTTTTTTTTCATGCCCATAGCTTAAAAGTGCCCATTTTCCTATGTCCTCATCAACACAAGTATTATCAGTCTTTTTCATGTTTGCAAATCTGATAGATTAAAACAAAAATCTCAATTTCCTTTCATTTACTTACTAACATACTTGAGAATCTTTTCTCATGGTTTAGATATTCATTTGTCTTTTGTGACTTTGCTGCTTTTGTGTTCTTTGACCATTTTTCTAGTGGTGTGTTTTGCATAATTTGATTCATTTAGTTGCCCCATGGTAGGCAAAAGAATGCAATAACCAAAAGATGGGGTTGCAGAACAGCCAGGAAGAACCAAGCATCTGTCTTGGGTTTCCCAAAGCCCCAGTTGTTCATGGAATTTACAATCATTGTTTAATCATCATGGTTTTTCTGATTCAGCAGCAGCAGACTGTCACCATGTCACAAGGGTATCAGGATGACAAAAGTCTGGCAACATATTTTGCAGAAGCAAAATGGACTTGATCCACATGTGCCACAACCTTTATAGTTTCTGTTGCTGCTGCCTTTGCATGTAAGTCAGCTAGGGAATTTCTCTAATACTCAAGTTCAGTCCTACTGTGAACCTCAACTTTTATGACAGCAATTTTAGAAGGTAAGAGAATTGCAGCAAGAAGGTTAATTAATTTTCTGTCCATTTTTTGTTAGAGTCCCAGTGGAAGTAAGAAAACCTCTTCATTTCTGTAACATCCCCAAATCATGGACAACCCCCAAGGCATACTGTCAGTATAAATTTTAACAATTTGTCCTGATAATTGGCATGCTCTGGTAAGGGCACAGATCTCTGCCTGTTGGACTTATTTAGCTTGTGGGAGGTTTCTCCTCTCAAGTAGTTGATATTGGGTAGCATCGCCAGCTTGGAAATACCCTTTTTCATTTTTACAGTATGACCCATCTCTAAGGAGGGAGATAGTGTGGGATACAGAATAATTTTTTTGAGGGGCTGCAAAGCAAGAGGTCATCAACATACTAGAGCAGGCAGCCAGGGGCAAGGTCGAGAGATTGGAAGTCCTTTTGTAGTGCTTGGCCAAAGAAGTGGGGACATATCAGTTAAGACTACCTGCGTTGTCTTAAGATATGCTGTTGGGCTATTGTCTGATTGCCAGAGAATATGCTAGGAATCTTACCTCTCAACTCTCTGCTTTTTCAAATGGAATCTTAGCCTTAAGATGGAGTCCCTCCTGTTCTTACTATACTGTTTATATTTCAGCATTTTTCATCATGGCAGGAAAAGTTAATCATGATGCTTATCCTATGTCTCTCTGCCCCACCTCATTCACCCCTCAAGGAATGTGGACCCTTGAAATCTTTCAAGGAAAAGTGGGTGCCAGTCACTCTTCTGTAACTGCTTCCTACTGAAAAGGGGCGTTGTTCCTGCCTGTGGGTCCAGCAGTTCCTTGCTGTCTGTCAGGGAGAGGTGGGGTCATGGAGCCATTTCAGCAGAGGAAGACATGGACAAGGGCACATAAAAAGAGGAGGCAACTAAGTTGCACGGCTGCTGATGTGCATCTTTGTTAGCATTAGGGTGGATTGAAATCCTCATCTGAGCAACATCTGGAGTTGTATTTTTTGTTCTGGAGGAAACAAACTTGACAAGGAGATTAAGAATGAATGGTTGAATATGGGACTAGAAATAGTGAAACTCTAATTGAAATGATGGGAGAAAAATGAAACATTTGGAGA